AAAAAAAAATTTCGGACTTTATCTTATCTTCATGGTGAAAATGGCTACCGAATGCTATTTTTGTGTGAAAATTTTCGATTTTGTATTTTCCATTTTTAACTTTATTATGCTATAACTTTTTGAAAAATGTATGAATCATTACAATTTTTTTATGAGAAGTAGTATTTATATAGATCTTTCATTCGACATACTGTTTTTTTAAATCGGACCATTTCCCTAAATACAGGGGGGATTCAAAACATAAAAATGCATATAGAAAGTAGAACTTTTTCAACTTCACTTTTGAAAATGTTCCGGAAGGTCTGACACTTTTATATATATCTTAAATTAAAACTAATGTAATATGCTTTTTCATGAAAAAAAAAAATTTCGGACTTTATCTTATCTTCATGGTAAAAATGGCTACCGAATGCTATTTTTGTGTGAAAATTTTCGATTTTGTATTTTCCATTTTTAACTTTATTATGCTATAACTTTTTGAAAAATGTATGAATCATTACAATTTTTTTATGAGAAGTAGTATTTATATAGATCTTTCATTCGACATACTGTTTTTTTAAATCGGACCATTTCCCTAAATACAGGGGGGATTCAAAACATAAAAATGCATATAGAAAGTAGAACTTTTTCAACGTAACTTTTGAAAGTGTTCCGGAAGGTCTGACACTTTTATATATATCTTAAATTAAAGCTAATGTAATATACTTTATTATGCAAAAAAAAAATTTCGGACTTTATTTTATCTTCATGGTGAAAACAGACATCAAAATTAATAAAAAAAATACGATTTTTGTAAAAAAATTCTTTTTTATATTTTTAACTTTATAATGCTATAACATTTTAAAAAATGTATGGATCAATATAATTTTTTTTTACAGATGCATGATGTCTTTACATATCATTTGGTATATATTTTTGTCATATCTGACACTTTATATGCCCACAGGGGGGGATTTAAAATGACAACTTTTTAACAAAAAATTGACTTTTTCAACTTAAATTTTGAAAGTATTCCGGAAAGTCTGACACTTTTATATATACAGGGTGATTTTTTTATCATAACCCAC